TCTTCTTCCCTGGCCAAGACAATTGATAGCTGATGATTAAGTGAATATTCATCTGGTTAGGGATGAATCACCTAATTGAGCCCATGAGATTTGGATCTGGCACCTCTTCTAAGGCCCTTAAGCTTCTGACTGGGAACCTGAATTGGAATGAGAGTAGAACCTTTATCTTTTAGAAAGAGCATATGGATTATGGGAGCAAGGGAAGTTTAAGAAGCTCGACTCATTCAATGAATTTATAAGCTAAGTAGAAGACTCCCTTTCCCAAATAGCAATCTACTGCCATTGAGTCGATTCCAACTCATAGCAACCCCCATTGGGTTTCCAAGGCTGTAAAATCTACATGGAAGTAGATTGCCTCATCTTCCTCCTGCAAAGCAGCTGGTGGGTTGAACCACTGACCTGGTTAGTAGCCAAAATGCGTTACCCACTTTGCCACTAGAGCTCCTAAATGCCAACCAGAGCTATACAAATGACTTAGAAATGAAATTGAAGCAAGATATCCCAAGATGGTTATAAAAAGGGAGTAAAAAAAACTTTTTTAAGCACCTGTAAACAAATCTGTGGTCACTTGATAGACAGTGGCCCCTATTGGTATGTGGATCTTGAATTGTTGGTAACTGTTTCCATGGTTAAAGTTTTGGAAGATTTTTCTCAGAAACAAATCCTCCAGATGGCACTCTTTCCCCAGGCCTAGGAGCATTATAAGCCATGTGGGCCTGGTCTGTGGAAATGGATGTCAAGGAACCTGTCCATTTTATCCTGGGTTTATATTCTGGACTTAGCTCAGAAAAGACATCCAGACTCTGGATAACATTTGTACTATAAGCTGTGCCATGTCTCTGAACAATCATTCCTGAGTAGATCAAGCAGTTCTCTGGTTAATAACATTGTTAAAGGAGATGTAGATAATCCCCTTCCCACGCTTGCTGATAAGGCTACTTGCTGATAAGGCTATCGCTTAAAGAAATGATTCCCAATCTGGTAGGTTTTACTCTATTGTTAATCTGATTTCCCAAGAGTTTATTCTCATCTGAAAGTATCGAATGGATCACACACAATAAGATATTTTTGTCAACATAAGAAACCTGACCCAAATAAGTAGTTTGTCTAAGATTCAGAGCTAGTTTGTGGCACAGATAAATGAAGATGTGTATAGAAGCAACTTCTTACCAAGGGGAGATTGCTGTAAATACAGGAAGGGATAAGCCTATTGGAAATTGTCTCACATACAGAAAGTCTTGGCACACAGTGGTCTTTCTGTTAGGCTGTGTTTCTGTGTTGTTTTTCCTAATCACAGAACTGCTTTTGGACATTGGCTTTGTGATCACTTCCTCCTAAAATGTATTTATGCCAAAGCCTAAAATTTCCTAAAACTACTGGATGACAGATTCCCAATTTTGAGAAGTTTTTCAGTTAGACAGAAATTCCTCACTTTTTCATGAGGAGCTTGGTTGAGAATTTTGTGATACTACATGATATAACTAGAGATAGCCTTAGATATCCCAAATCCAAGTTATGAAATCTTTGCCTGGAGGTTGGGGAGGAGGGCAATAATTCTGATGAGCTATGTATAAATTCTTCACTCCTCCTCAGAAATCTGCTGCCCTAGATTTCTTGTTTAGTGCAAGTGAGTGGAGTGGGAGTAGATGGGTCTTAGCTACTCTATCTACTGAAGAAAAGACTAGTACTAAGGCCAAGGACATTTACCTCCTCTCTTGTCACAGGCTTGTATGTAGTTCTAAAACTTCCTACATTCATTCTACTTACAAATAATGGTTGCTTATTGTATGCCAAAGAGCTCTGGTGGCGCAGTGCCTGAGGCATTTGACAGCTAACCAGAAGATTGGCGGTTCAATCCCACCAGCCACTCAGAGGAAGGAAGATGGGGCATTCTACTTCAAGAAAGATGTACTGCCTTGGAAACCCAGTGAGGGTTTCTGACTCTATGAGTCAGAATCAACTTGATAGCAGTGGGTCTGATATTGGTATTTTATGCCAGGCATTATTCTAGTCACTGAACAAAAAAAATCACACACACACACCCCCAAACAAAAACTCCCTGACCCTCTGGTAATTTAAACTTTAATGCCAAAAGAAAGCATATGAAATAAGTAAATTGTATAGTTTGAGGAGCTCTGGTGGCCTAGCACCTGAGGCATTTGACTGCTAACCAGAAGGCTGGTAGTTCAAACCTACTAGTCAATCCTTGGAAGGAAGACTGGGCAATCTACTTCCTAGAGATACTGCCTTGGAAATCCAAGGAGGGGTTGTTATGAGTCGACTCTACTCAATGGCAGTGAGGTTTTTTTATTTTTTATTTTTTTTATAGTATGTTTGAAGATAATAGATGCTATGGATAAAAATAAACATAAGGTAATAAAGATTGGGAGTTCAGAGAAGAGGAAATCATCTAAATAGGGTGGTAGGAATATACGTCACTGAGAAGGTGAGTAAGCTATGTGGATGTCTAGGTGGAGACAACTCTAAGCAGAGACCAGCCATTGCAGAGCTCAAAGACAGGAGGAGTGTGCCTAGTGAACTCAGGGAATAGCAAAGAATGAGGGAGAGAGGCTTAGTAGGAAAGGAGGTTAGAGAAGTAATAGGGGAGGAGGGGGCAAGACTGTATAGAATCTTGTTGGCCATTATAAGGATTTTTTTTTCCACTCAGGGTCAAATGGGAAAACCATTAATAGTGTAAAAAACATGTTTTTTTTTTTTAAAAAAAAAAACATTTTTTAGACTAGCACCCAGCTTCAACAATTATGGTCACATGGCCAGTCTTGTTTCATCTGTACCCCCCCCACACACACACCCCTCAGTATATACTGAACTGTTGGAACAAATGCTAGATGGCCTATCATTTCATCATTAAACACTCCAGTATGTATCCATAAAGTGTAAGTGCACCCCTTCCCTTTTTTAAAAGAAACATAACTATAATCATCAGTAGGTTTTGAGTGTAAAAATGGATACACTTTATTTGCCTTACTCTTTGTTGAAAAACAAAAACAAAACAAAATGGTTGCCCTTGAGTTGACTCATAGCAATCCATGTGTGTCAGAGTAGAACTGTGCTCCATAGAATTTTCAGTGACTGTGGTTCAGTGAACTACTTGGTATGGCTTTTCTAGCCTAGTCTTTGTAACTCCCACTGGATTACTGGGTGGAACCATGCAAATAAAGTGTGT